GTCATTCTGTGATTATTTCACACAGCACTCCAAGTTCATCCACATTATGTAGTGTTTTGCTGATTCTACATTATTCTTTAGTGTTGCATAGTATTCCATTGTGTATATACCATAGTTTGGTTGTCCATTCTTCTGTTGCTGGGCATGTAGGTTATTTCCATCTTTTTGCTATTTATACAAATAACTTTTAAATCAATAAAATAACTAATAAAGGGGAAAAAAGTACCATTTGTGATAAAGTAATATATATTTCAATATGTAAATTCTCCATGATGATGATTATGCTAGATAGAGAACATAATGTAGTCAGATGACTGCATCTAGACATAGAATAACATGAATTTCACAGCTATAAATGCGGCCGGAAGTTCTGAGAAAGTCCCTTCTAGTAACAGCCCTCAATCAATGACTCTCAAAAGATAGATGTCTAATTCCACACCTTCTTTGTCCCTCAAATATGTTCACTCTGAAGCATGTGTTTTGCACTGTTTCCCAACAGGATTAAACTCCAGTCACCCATAATGATAACTTACTTGATAATGCATCCTTTCTTGGCCATTTTCTGTTCCTTGTCTCACTTGTATACTTTCTTACAGAGCTCCCTGCACCTCCCAAATAAACTACTGGCCCTCATATCCTGTCTCAGAGTTTGCTTCTGAGAGAACCCAAACTAAGTTACTTACATCAGAAAATAACATGAGTAGATTATTAACAATTGTCTAATATAAGAATTTAGAAGGACAACAGAATAACATCCCCCCCCAAAAAAGTAGAAAAAGAAATTATAAAAATAAGAGCAGAAATAAATGAAACAGAAAACTAAGATAGAAGGGATCAACAAAAGCAAATGTTATTTAAAAAAAAAAAACACAGTAAAATGGACAAACTTCTAGCAAAACTGATCAGAAAAAAAGGTAAAAAGGTATAAATAAACAGTATTAAGAATGAAAAGGAAGGTAAAAGTATGGATATCATTTTTATGGAGATCAGAATACAAGACTATTATACAAACTTTATTCAATAATCTTGAAAATATAGATTAAATGAATACATTTTTAGAAGATTAAAAAGTACCAAACTACCATGGTTGCAGGGGACATCAAGCTCAATTGGCATAACATACTACACAAAAACATTGTTCCACATCCTACTTTGGTGAGTAACAACTGGGATCTCAAAAGTTTGCAAGCAGCCATCTACATGCAACGATGGGTCTCTTCTCATCCAGAGCAAAGAACAACAAAGAAAACCAAAGATGCATGCAATTAGTCCAAGGGACTGGTACTCCATGCACTTCTCAGCCTATACAACTATGAGACCAGAAGAACTAGATGGTGCCTGGCTACCACTGTCAACCACTAGGAGGGGGATCTATGCAGGACATCCTGGATAGAGTGGGAGAACAATGTGTGGAACACAACTCAAAATCATTAAAA